TGCTTTCTTTAAAAGGACCTTTGGGGACACAAACTTGGTTCAATAGGCCTTAATATATATGACAGAATGCATGAATCTTGTGGCGAACTCTAAGCGGTGCAGATGGGGGGATGGGGTCTAAGTATGATCAAGAAGTACTGTACGAAATTTGCAAAAGTTCAATAAAAAGTAGTTCTAATTTGCATTCCCCTGATGACTAAGGAGGTTGAACATTTTAAAAATATTTCTCACCATTTTTATTCCATTTCTTGAGAACTCTCTGTTTAATTCTATGCCAGTTTTAACTGGGTTGGCTGTTTTCTTGATGCTTAGGTTTTTAGTTCTTTATATATTCTAGATAGTAAACCTCTGCCAGATACATAGTGGATAAGATTTTCCCCCATTCTGTAGGCTGCTTCTTCATTCTAATGACGGCACCTTTTGCTGCACAGAAAAGTTTTAGTTTCACGTGGTTCCGTCTGTCACTTGTTGGTCATAATTCCTGTGCCATCAGTCCTTTCCTGTGACTACAAGCTCTAGCATAGTCCCTTACCTTCTTCTCTATCAGCTTCGGAGTATCAGGTCTTATGTTGAGTCCTTGATCCATTTGGAGCTGAGTTTTGTGCAGGGTGAGAGATATGGGCCTAACTTTATATTCTTTTACATGTAGCTTCCAGTTTGTCTAGCGTCATTTGTTGAAAATGCTTCCTCCACTGTGTGCTTTTCATCTCTTTGTTAAAAATCAGGTAGCCACAGGTGTATGATGTATATCCAGGTCTACAATTCTGTTCCATTAACGAATTTGTTTGTTTTTATGCTAGTACCATGCTGTTTTTATTACTATAGCTCTGAAACCAGGGATGGTGATACATCTAGCAGTTCTTTTATTGCTCAGGATTGTTTTGGCTATCCTGTGTGTTTTGTGTGTGTTTTCACATGAAATTTAAGATTCTTTTCAATTTCTGTGAAAAATTGCATTGGAATTTTGATGGGGATTGCAGTGAATCTGTAGGTTGCTTTTGGTAGGATGGCCATTTTCACAATATTGAGCCTATTGATCCAAAAGCATGGGAAATCTTTCCATCTTCTGGTATCTTCTTCAATGTCTTAAAGTTTTTAATTGTAAAAGGATTTCAATGTCTTAGTTAGATTTATTCAGAGATACTTTATGGCTTTGAGGCTATTGTGAATGAGATTGTTTCCTTGGTTTGCTGTTGCAGAGAAAGTTTACTAATTTTTGCATGCTGATTTTGTATCCTGCTACTTTGCTGAAGGTGTTTGTAAGCTCTAGGAGTTTTCTGATGTAATCTTTAGGGTTTTGTGTATAGAATCACATCATATAGGGATACTTTGAATTCTTCCCTTCCAATTCATATTTCTTTTATCTCCTTTACTTGTCTTATTACTGTAGCTAAAACTGTAAGCACTATATCGAACAGAGATGAAGAAGGTGGACACCCTTGTCTTTTTCCTGATTTTGGTGGAAATGCATTGAATTTTTCCTCTGCTTAGTATTATGTTGGCTATGGGTTTGCTGAATATTGGCTTTATTGTGTTGAGATGTCCTGTATCTTAAATTACTTTTATCATGAATTGATGTTGGATTTTGTCAAAGGTCTTTTCTGCATTTAATGAGATGATCATGTGGTTTCTGTCCTTGAGTCTGTTTACATGACAGATTACATTTACTGATCTGTATATGCTGAACCATCCCTGTATCTCTAGGATAAAACCAAATTGATCATGGTGGGTATCTTTTTGATGTGCTTTTACATTCAGTTTAAAAGTATTTTATTGAGAATTTTTGTGCCTATGTTGATTAGAGATTGGCCTGTAGTTTTCTTTTCTGTTGGATCTTTATCTGGTTTTAGTCTAAGGGTAATGCTGGCTTCATAAAAAGAATTTGGAAGGGTTCCTTCCTTTTCTATTTTACACATCATGTGAGGAGTATTGATGGTAATTCTTCGAAGGTATGATATAATTCTGCCCTGAATTCATCTGGTCATAGGCTTTTTTTTTTCTTTTACTTGAGAAAATTTTAAATTACTGCTTCTGTTTCATTGTTACAAGTGTATTTAAATGGGATTTATTTCATCTTGATTTAATTTTGATGCTATACATATTTAGGAATCCATCTATTTCTTTTAGATTTTCCAGTTTAGTGGAATACAGATATTTGAAGCATGTCTTTTATGATGGTCTGAATTTCCTCATTATCTGTTATAATGTTTCCCTTTTTATCTGGGCCCAGAAATAAAGTAAGAGATTTTGGTTAAAGTGGTTAAAGGGTTGTCAATCTAATTAATCTTTTCAAAGAACCAACTCTTTCATTTCATTAATCTTTTGTAGTTCTTTTTTCATTTCTATTTCATTAATTTCAGATCAACTTTTGATTATCTCATCCCATCTGCTCTTTTTGGGTGATGTCTGTTCTTGTTTTTCCAAGGTTCTCAGGTTCATCATTAAGTTAATTATACGAGATTGCTCTAGGTTTTTTTTTTTTTTAATTTTAAATGTGTATGAGTGTATTGCCTGCATGTGTTTAAGTGCACCCATATTGTGCAATCCCCGTAGAGGTCAGAAGAGGACATTGGATACCCTGAAACTGGAGTTATGGATGGTTGTTAGCTGCCGTGTGGGTCCTGGGAATCCAACCCGGGTCCTCTGCAAGAGCAGACAGTACTCTTAACCCCTGAGCCATCTCTCTAGCCTGATCGGTCCAGCTGTAACTCTCCTCTTAGGACTGCTTTCATTGTGTCCCATAGATTTTTAGTATGTTGTGTTTTCATTTTCACTCAATTCTAGTAATTTAAAAATTTCCCTCTTGACCCAATTTTCATTCAGTAGTACGTTGTTTAGTTTCCATGAGCTTGTGCACGATTCCCCATATCTTTTATTGTTGATAAAAAGCTTTATTCCTCTGTGGCCAGATAGAATACAGGATGTTATTTCAATTTTCCTAAATTTGTTCAGACTTGATTTGTGTCCTAATATGTGTCAATTAGGGAGAAAATTGCTGAGAAGAAAGTGTGTCCTTTGGTGCTTGGGTGAAATTGTAAATTTCTGTTAGGGCCATTTGATTTATGACATCATTTAGCTTCAGGTTTTCTCTTTCTTTGTTGTCTGGATGACCTGTCTATTGATGGGAGGTGGCTATGTTGGGGGTCAGTCTTTGATTTTAGATTTGATAGTGTTTGTTTTATGAAACTGGGTGCCCATGTGTTTGCTGCATAAATGTTTAGGACTGCAGTGTTCTCTTGGTATACTTTTTTTTCTTTAATGAGTATGGAATGTTCGTTCCTAAGTTTAGTGACTAATTTGGTTTGGAGTTGATTTCATGGGGTATTTGAATGGCTGTAGCTTCCTGTTTTTAAGCTGTGTTTACTTGGAATACCTTCTTCCACACTTCTACTCTAAGGTGGTGTCAGCTGGTGGTGGTCAGGTGTGTTTCTTGAAGACAACAAAAAGATGGATCCTGTTTTCTAATTCAACCCGCTTATCTGTGTCTTTCTATTGAGGAATCGAGACAGTTAATATTGAGAGTTATTACTGACTGATGTTTATTACTTCCTGTCATTTTGTTCTGGTGTCTTATTTTCACACACCTCTTTTGGTTACCTGTTCTGGGATTACTTTTCCTTCTTCCTTCCTGGTGTGCTTAATCTTCTTTTCAGGTCCAAGTATTCTTCCTAGTATCCTCTGCAGAGCTGGCTTGGTGGCTACAAATTCTTTAAATCCATTTTTATCAGGGAAAGTTTTTCCTTTTCCTTTAATTATAACTGATAGTTATGCTGAATATGGGAGTTGGGGCTGGCATAGATTATGAATTGTGGGACATCAGTGAACAAATCTTTTTGACTTTCATACTCCATGGGAAAATCAGCTGTTGTTCTGACGAGCCTATCTTTATGTACTACTTGATCTTTTTCTCTTGAAGCTTTCAGTATCTTTTCTCTGTTCTGTACATTTAATGTTTTGACTATTATGTGATGTGGGGCGTTTCTTTCTGGTTCTGTCTATTTGGTGTTCTGTATGCCTCTTGCATCTTAATAGGTATCTCTTTCTTTAGATTGGGGACATAGTTGTCTATGATTTTGTTAAAACATTTTCTGTGTCTTTGACTTGGGTTTCTTCTCCTTCTACACCTTTGATTCCTAAGTTTGGTCTCTTACACTGTCCCAGAGTTCCTGCATATTCTATCACTGGGTTATTTTAGACTTAACATTTTCTTTGACTGAGTAATCCATTTCCTTTACTTTGTCTTGAGATCTGATATTCTTTCTTCCATTTGATGCAATCTATTGGTGAGGCTTTCCTCTGAACTCTTTGTTTGATTTCCTGAGTTTTTGTTCAGTTTGGCTTTTCTTCAGAGATTCTATCACTTTATTAAATTATAATTTCTTTAAAAAATTTTGGATTTATTTTATTTTTATTTTTTGTCTTTTTCTTTTTTTTTTTTTTTTTTTTTCTAACTGGCCTGGAACTCCCTATTTAGACCAGGCTGGCCTGGAACTTACAGAGATCTGCCTGCTTCTGCCTCCCAAGTGCTGGGATTAGATTTATTAATTTCTTTTTTATGTATATGAGTGTTTTGCCTGCATGTGTCCAAGTGCACCCATGCTGGAGGCCAGAGAGGGTGTCAGATCCCCTGGAACTGGAGTTATGAATGGTTGTTAGCTGCCATGTGGGTCCTGGGAACTGAACTTAGGTCCTCTGCAAAAGCAGCCAGTACTCTTAAGAGCTGAGCCATCTCTCCAGGCAATTAAATTGAAATTTATATTTTGATTTTTTTAAACCTATTTCATTATAATGCTATTTTTTTGCAGTATTTATTCAGTGTTTTACCCTTATCCCTTTTGAACTGAACATATTTATAAGTGCTACTTTGAAATAATTTTCTAATGCATCAGTAAGTTGCCATTCCCAGGAAACATTACAATGGTGCTGATTTCTGGAAGAGACATATTGTCTTGGTTATTAATGTTGTTTGTGCTTTTGCAATGAGAACTCAGCTTTTTTTTTTTAATATGGAATGCTTCACGAATTTGCCTGTCGTCCTTGTGCAGGAGCCATGCTAATCTTCTCTGTATCGTTCCAATTTTAGTATATGTGCTGCTGAAACAAGCACGAGACAGCTTGTTATGTCATGGGTGGTGTTTTTTGGAATGGATATCTGATCTTGCCTTTGTTGAGCTGGTGTGTGGATCTCTGTTTGCTGTTATCCCATCTTGTTGTGGTCCAGCTGAGTAGTCCTTGGTATTCAGTCTTGGGGCCATTCTGTGTTGTTGTATCAATAGGGTATCAGAAGTGGTTTCAGTTTAGCTAAGTAAGGTGTGACTTCTGAGCCTGTGGTTCCAGGTCACACTCCAGCTAGTCCCAGAGTGATGGGGTGGGCAGGGTGGCTATGGTTTAGGCAGGTCCTCAGGCTTACAAGATCCAATCTAGGTCTGAGAATGTGGAATGGTGGAGAGGGAACTGGGAAGTTTTTTCTTAAGGTTAACAGTTCATTCTTCAAACTGGGCAGCATGTAGCCGTCTTCACAGCGTCCACAAGGCATTGAGTAAAGTCCCGAGTGCACTGGCCTCACCCAAATGTCTATTATTTACAAAATGAAGGAGCAGGTCTACAATATGACCTTGTGCGTTCTTTTTAGTTATAAATCATAGCGGTGGAGAGGGAACTGGGAAGTTTTTTCTTAAGGTTAACAGTTCATTCCTCAAACTGGACAGCATGTAGCAGTCTTTACAGCGTCCACAAGGCATTGAGTAAGGTCCCGAGTGCACTGGCCTTACCCAAATGTCTATTATTTACAAAATGAGGGAGCAGGTCTACAATATGACCTTGTGCGTTCTTTTTAGTTATAAATCATAGAGGAAATGATAGCTCCCAGGCAAAATGTTCAAGGACCAGAAGAAAACGACCCACACTCTAGTTTGAAACTATAGATTTGGGGACCAGAGTTCTATCCAGACCATGCAGCCAATCTGGGCTACTCACAATGGAACACAGAAGGGAAATGGAGGGAGAAAACACAGCTCAGACTGTCAGCAGCTATGGACTACAGTTGGAAAGATGCCAGTGCAAACTCCAAAAACAGTGAGGAAAATAGCCTGTAGATTAAAGCCCAGGACTGTGAGAAGAGTACTGAGTGGCCATTAACGGACACGAGCTCCTACCCAGGATCTGTCACTATGTGACTTTGGGCCTCAGCTTCAGTTTCTATAAAATGAAGGTTTAGGCTCATTAACAGGAGGTTATCCTACACTTTAAAAACCTACCACCTTGTCTCATTAATTACCATTTCTTAACTCCATCCTTTTATGGTCCCCTCACTTCCTTCTTTCCTACCAGCATCCTTTCTATTGCTCTGACTGTGTCTCTTTGGTTTAAACATCTTCTTACAGATATGTTTTGTTGTGAAGTAGCAACATCAGTTCAGGCACGTTACTGTTTTATATATCTCATTCTGTCACGTTTTACTCAGCATTGTTTTTGAGTCTAACTTTAACCAGTGGTTTGAAAATTCTGCCTTGTGAGGCTATCCAATCGACAAAGGAGGAGATGGATGACATAGATGTCTGTGGCCACCTCTTTAAGTCATTCACATCCACTTGTTCCTGTTAAGTGGGTCTCAATTCTCTTGGGACTTTGTTCTGATGATGAAATCCCAGGGCTCCAGAGTCAACAGGTGGAGATCTTCCCAGCTCTGCCACTGATCTCTGTGTGTAAGCACAGAAAACAAGGACTCCTCCCAACAGTAGCAGGTTCTGTGAAGGAGGCTCAGTGGTGGACATGAGGTCATTGTTGGTCCTGTGTGGTGAAAACCACGAGATGGATGAAACCAGGAACCTCCTCTGCTTTCTGGTCTGACCTCCAGGTGTGATCTGTGATGATGGGAGAATTTTATTTATGGCTCTTCCCCTCACTGATATAGGAAGCTTTTCCAGGTGTCAAAGTGATGAACAGATCTGTGAACCTGAAAGTGGGCATGAGCACCAGGTCAACACCCAAACTTTGGTCAGAGGTGGACATAACAGTGAATCTGCCATAATTCAGACTCATCCCCAGTTTGTCCTAGGCCAGACTGACCACATACCTAGTCAGTGCATTCTAGGTCAGTGCAGCTCTAGTTTGCAGAAGGGCATGGCTTCTCAGATGGAGCCAGGATACAACCATGATCCAGGAAAGGCTGGAGTGCAACTTTGTGGCTCCAAGGACAATTCCAACTGGTTGATTTGGCAATGTATTGATATCCTAACCACAGCTGAGTGTCTGCTCCTTGCAGGCTAGAAATGTGTTCTTATCAGCTGCCTTGGAAGCAATAAGATCCACCTTATATACAAGACCACTAGAATTCTATCCTGATAATGTATACTAGGTTATCTTTGCGGGAAATCAGTGCTCACCTATTAGTCTTAGGACAGTCTCCACTCACAAAAAGCACATAAAGAGTGAAAGTTTTAGCAGAAAGTGGTTGATCTTAGGGGTAGGTAAGCTTATATATAAGATGCATCTCCAAGGTTGACAAGAACAGGGCTGGGTTGTTTGGAGAAACAGTGTTAGAGCATATGGAAAATAAATTCACAGAGCCAAGGTTTATGACCTTCCCAACATCTTTCCTCTGCCCATTTTGGTGAGATTTCCTTATTGGGTAATGGGCAATGAATATGATCAGAATACATTACAAATGTGAATGAAATTGTCGAAGAATAAATTTAAGCCAGTGGCCAGGGCTAGCTTTGATCATGCAACCCTGGGCACACAACACACTTGTGAGTCCCCAATCCCAGCATTACCTGTCCATCATCCTATGTTCCCAGGTCTAGCTCAGGCTGTGCACCCTCATGCACCTGCCAGACTTAGCGCATCTTTCAGTTCTCACTAGAGAAGCTTCTTGCAGCAGTTAGTGATTAGCCCAGAGACCCACAACTGGTCAATGTGCAGAAAGTAAGGAACTGCAGCACACACATCCCTAAGTGGGACACCTGTATACATACACATCCCTAAGTGGGACACCTGTATACATACACATCCTTAAGTGGGACACCTGTATCACACCCTTTCCTCCCAGATTGAGATCATTGAGAAAGAAGGGGCAGAAAGACTGTAGGAGCCAGATGTGGTTGACAAGTTCAAGAAAACTGTGTTTTCCGGACACAACAGGGCAGTTGCACATATGAACCCACAGTACTGGTGACAGCATACACAAGACCTATGTAAGTTGAAGCCATACAAAAACCCAGCATGAATGGGGGCAGTAGGCAGGAAGCCCCCGCCCTAGTTGAGGATTTATTGGCAATTGATAGCTTCTGGGAGAGAGAGAGTCAGTTTTCTTTAGGGATATGATGCCTAGTAGGTTTACCAGGCTCCAGGGGATAGATCCATAACCAAGAGCATTTAGGGACTACAGCTTATACTCAGTAGGTCTTAAAACATAATAGAGAACATGAAGTTGAGGGTGTAGTAAGGTAAGAGTGGAAGTGGGGAGGAGGTCTAGATACATTGTATGACATTCTCAAGAAATTAACATTTTTAGATATTTTACTTATTATTTTCATTTCTAATGTGTGTGAATGTATTGCCTGCATATATATAAGTGCACTCATGTCATGCAATGCCCACAGAGGTCAGAAAAGGCTGTCATATTCCCTTAGAACTGGAATTATGGAGTCTGTTAGCCACCATGTGGACCCTGGGACTTGAACCTGGGCCCTCTGTAAGAGCAACCAGTGTGCTTAACCACTGAGCTAACTCTCCAGCTCCAATAAATATTTTTTTAACAAGAATATACTCACACTCTCTATGCTGGTACTCAAGTTCATAGAGGACTCACAGGTATAGTCATTCTGGTGTTCTCCAGAGAGGAAGGAGGGAGGAAAAGCCATGGTGGCCTCAGGTACATATACTCATTTTAAACAATGTGTAACTTGTCTGTGATGGTAAATCCAGTTCCTTTTGGGTGTAAAAACTGAGAATTCTTAGACTCTTCTTGAAAGAAAACAAAAAGAAGGTCACTTAGAGATGTGAAGTTTAAATATTATTCTATGAAATGTGGCAATTGTATATAGTGTTTCAAATAAACACTCTCAGTTATTTGGTATCATTGTGAGAGAACATCTGACAGAACAACTTGAAAGACGGAAGGTTATTTTGGCATGGCAGACAGCTTGGTTTGTGGTGCTGAGTCTGAGGCTGCCAGGCAGACCAGGGGGGAGGGTGTAACTTCTAAAGGCTTGGCTCTAGCCACTTACCAGTCAGGCCCCATTTCCTAAAGGCTCTTCAACCTTTAACATAGCACCAGGCACTGAAGACTGAGCGTTTAAAATATGAGCTCATAGAAGACAGACTCAATCATAACATTCTCCCTTAAACTCAGCCTCCCAAGTTTAAATTTTATCTTGCACAAAGTATAGCATATTTATTATTTAGAAAATGCTGATGTCTGATGTTTGATTTTCCTGCCTTTTTGATGTGCATCTATTTCTTCAAATTATACTAAAATCCATCCCACTAATAAGCAGGTTTATCAATAATTATGGAACAGAAATCTTGTCTTAATTTTGTGATCTAATTGGATTATTCTAAGGAGCACTGCTATGCAGATGTCCTTGACTTAGGATGGGCCTCCCTCTCTACCAACTGCAGCGTCTTTATGCAGGTGAAAATACCTTAAATTTAAAAAAATATATGACAAAAATTGTATAGCAGTGCAGCACACTACCATAGTTATTTACTCTCCTGACCATGTGGTTGATTCTAGCTGTGGCATACTGCCTGTTGCTGGCCTAGACTAAGGTCAACATTTAAAATTCGAAGTATGGTTGGTACTGAAGGCATGTCACTTTCACACTATTATAAAGTATCAATGTCATTACTTGGGGATCCACTGTAGTCTGCATTTATATAACATAAGGCAAGAAGGGAAAGGCCTTGCTTGTAAGGACAAAAACCAATTTAAATGACTTGGGGAAATACCAGCATGTATGGAACTTCTTGTGTCATTAAAGCTATTTGTATTTCAAGTCTTTATATGCTTAAGAACTTACATAAAACAGACAACAAAACAACCTACAGTTATTTTTATTGTAGAATATTTTAGAGCACAATCAGGACCTATTTATAGCAATA